CAAGGAAAAAATTGTGACCGCCACCCCGGATAAAGATCTTCACGACGATGATTTTTTCTGGGTGTCGGGAAATTACGAAACAGCCGAGGTGCCGGGCTGGTTCATAAACAAGGACTTCGGTTCTTCATGTAAGCCACTCAAACTTGCTCGGTTAGCTTTAGTCTTTACTTTGTAACTAACCGATTTTCCTGTTTCTTTTGCAGCAATCCAAGCCTTGCAAGCCAACTATCAATTCCCCAACGTCGAAGCAATTCGGATCGTGCTTAGGTACCGTCACCGAGATTGCAACGATTTACTTGGCTATACACCGACATACAGGTATTCTGCTCCGCGCCGGAGTAGAGTGACTGACTTCCTTCGCGCTCCTTCGCCGCCTCCAGATCCTTCCCTTCCTGACGTTCCCCTCATTCGCCTGACCGAGGAACAAGAAATGGCCAAGCGCAGCAGAATCAAGAACCTGCTCACCGCCACATCCGCCGAGGTGCCGAGCGTAGTAACTCGGTCACCAGCCGCCGGTCAATCCAGTGGCGCTGTGGTCGCTCTTGCCACTCAATCCGCCGGGCAATCCAGCCGCGAACCCTTTGCACGACGTGCCGGAAAAAGAGCTCGGAGCTAGTCACCGAGCTCACCACCGAGCACCCAACAGACGCCCCCGCCCCAGTGCCGGCCTGGCACCCACATTTGAAGCACCGGGGTCAAGATATCCCGGCGACGGCTTCGATCAAGGCGGATAAAGAGCACCTGCTCGCCTTCGATCTGTCCAAAGCCCTGCTACTACCGAGCGACGTGGTCGGCTGCGACCACGTCCCCGACACTCGGTTGGTCAAATCGTCTGTGAAGTCTATGGCCAGGGTAAGTTGATGTTCCTCTGAAAATTTCACAAGTGTTTGCTCGGTTCCTTTTCTGCTCGGTCTCCTATCTAATCAACGTTGTTTTTGTTTTTGCAGGCCATTCAAAAACAACACCTGGTCTTGGAGCGTATCCACAGACTTAAGCAGAAAGCCACTGACACAGCCAGCCAGGTCGAAAGCCTTCAAGCCGAGCTCGACCGGGCTAAGTCTTCTCTTGAGATGGCCAACTCTGACAACAACAGACTGCTCGGCCAGCTGGATGCAGCCGAGAAAAAACAAAACAAGCTCCAGACCGAGGTGGATACCCTGAAGAAATCGAAGAAGAAAGCTTGCCAGGCTGCAAACACCGCCGGCTTTAACGAGGCCGAGGAGAGCTACAAGAAGCAATTCTTTGCAACACAAGACATCTACTTCAAAGCAGGCTGGAAGTCTACCTGCGAACACCTCGGCCAAGGCTCCGACACCGACGTATTTGCCAACCCTCCTCCAGCTTCGCTACCGGTCTACCTTGTGCCTTACGCAAACGACGTATTCAGCGCTCTGCAAGCGGAGGCCGAGGAAGGACTTGAAGATGGAGAGGATGACACAGATTCTGAGGCAGAGGAGGCCGAGGTGCAAGAGCAGCCCGACAATGCTGAGCCCGGTGCCCAAGACGTCAGTCCAACCATCAACCTTGATGCTGGCGAGGACGAGTTCACCAATCTCTCCCCCCTAGTTTAGTTCTGTTCTCTTTGTTCTTTTTTGTAGTTTTGTTTCCAACTCTTTTGATGTAATCGGGCTCTGTCCCCACCTTTTGTAATGATTTTCTTTTCAATGAGAAACTCAAATTTTTCTAAGTGTTTGCACGGTAGTAATCAATTCCATCTTCAGCAAAATATCTCGGTATAACTCATCGTCTGAACAACACTTTGTCGACCGGAATCCATAACACGGTCGAAGCACTTTAGCATAACAAAACAAATTCATGAACCGAAATACCCATCTCGGTTGTAACAAAGTTGAACAAATCAACACTTCCAACCGGAGTACATCATCTCGGTTGAGAATCCGAAGTTGGACAAAACACCAACTCTTCCAACCGGAGTACATCATCACGGTCCGTAACATGAAAACAATAGTCCAAGTGCTAAAGCAAAATTACTTCTATAAATTGACAAAAAGAATTACATGCTGCGGTGTAAGCCAAAAAATTTCTTTGCACAAGAAAAGAAAGCAGAAGCTTAAAAATAATACAATTTCAAGTTGGCCGCATTCCATGGCCGAGGTATTGCTCTTCCCTCTAAATCCTCCAAGTGGTAAGCCCCCTTGCCCGCCAGACCAGTGATTTTGTAGGGTCTTTCCCAATTTGCCCCTAGTTTTCCTTCTCCTGGCACCAGGGTGTTGCCCATAATCTTCCTTAAAACCCAATCACCAACTTTGAACGATCTGGGGTGCACCGTCTTGTTATACTTCTTTGAGAGCTCCTGTTGGTAGGCGGCCACATGGATGAGGGCCTTCTCCCGACGCTCGTCCGCTAGGTCCAGCTCCAAGGCAATAACCTCGGCGTTCAGCTCGGGCTCAAAACTCTTGCTTCTGAGGGTGGGCATTTCAACTTCCAAGGGTATGACCGCCTCCATGCCGTAAGCCAAAGCAAATGGAGTTTCCCCGGTGGAACGTCGCGGGGTTGTTCTGTATGCCCAAAGGACGCTAGGTAATTCCTCAGCCCATTTGCCCTTGGCCTTTTCCAGCCGTTTCTTCAACCCATCCAGTATAGTCTTGTTCGATGCTTCGGCTTGACCATTGGACTGCGGGTAAGCCGGGGTGGAGTTGTAGAATTCTATCTTCAAATCTTCACAAAATCCTCTGAATAGGCGACCGTCAAACTGGGTGCCGTTGTCAGAGATCAAAATCTTGGGGACGCCAAACCGCGTAACCACGTTCTGCCAGACAAACCGCTTCACGTCTTTCTCTTTCATGGTTGCCAAGGATGTTCCTTTTAAAAATTTCACAAGTGTTTGCTCGGTTCCGTTTTTGCTCGGTCTCCTATCTAATCAACGTTGCTTTTGTTTTTGCAGGCCATTCAAAAACAACACCTGGTCTTGGAGCGTATCCACAGACTTAGGCAGAAAGCCAACGACACAGCCAGCCAGGTTGAAAGCCTTCAAGCCGAGCTCGGCCGGGCTAAAGCTTCTCTCGAGATGGCCAACAATGATAATAACAGGCTGCTCGGTCAACTGAATGCAGCCGAGAAAAAACAAAGCGAAC